CTGCCCTAAAGAAATGCGATGTTCAGCTGAGCACTGCTGAGGGAATTTCTTCCTTTGCTGCAGTTGCTGCCTGCATTAAGCTGGTGGAAAATGCACAGGCTTGAAGCAAGACAGAGTGTCCATTTGTGCAGAGCAATGATCCCTGCAGAAGGCATCTCTTCCCTGCATTTCTCTCCCACTCATCTCAAAGGTTTCCATAAACAAGATGGCTCCTTGTCTGCATCAAGCTCTATACATACCATAAACATGACCTGACCCACATTATCCAGTTAAATACATCTTTTTTCAAGCTCAGTTTCTCCCCTGCTCTTCCTCCCACAAAACATTTATCACAAGGTGGTGCAAACAGATTCCCCAATGGATTTTTGATCCCTCCTCCTCTCAGCCACTTCCCAAAGTTGCCTGTAAAGAGCCCCAGGTAACCTCAAAGTGCCAGGTTAGGGGAGATGAGTTACCAGCAATGCTGAAATTAAACCCAGGAATGAATAATCATCAGAATTTCAGGCAGGAGCTGGAGCTGCTTCGCACATGTTCTGCTTCCTTGTGTTGAGAGAAAACAAACCAGTTGATTTCTCAAGATATTTCACTCAGTTTACAACAGTTTTTAGCTCTGTAGTTTGTAATATTACATACTTTGAAATGAAATTCAATCCCCAAATCCTTCTAGCTGGTTACTCATAAAACCCATTAAGTTCAGGCATAAGCAAACCAGACTCATCTTTTTCCCTCCCAGTGCCTATTACATATAAATAGTAATTATTGTTCCTGGCAAGGCTCTAGTGTCTCTTATGATTCTGTACTTTAATGATCTGATTTCTTAGTACTTTCCACTGAAGAATATATTTAACATGTTTCCTCCTCCAAGATAGGATTTTTAAATTATGAATGTAATAAAGACAATGATGTTGCCAGTCTCATGATTAATAGCTTAAAGAGACATTTGCTAAGCCTTCATTCTCACCATTATCACAAATTCACAAGCTGTATAGCTTTGTAACATGCAGCAAAGACAAGATTTAACTCTATAGTTACACAGCTAAATCCACAAGCAATACAAGAAGGGCATTAGTGTAGCTTGATCTAGAAAAGCAATTTAAGTCCTACGTGCTCTGTTGACAGATTTGTGTTTTTTAAATGCCACCTTAGAAGAAAGTGTCTAATGCAAGATTCCCACCCTTATTTATGCAATGGGTGACATCTCCAATCTTGTATGTTGTCAGAACTTAAACCGCAGTAAGTTACATCACTGTGAGACAGAGAGCATCATTAGTGTTCAGCTCAGTTACTGAACTAATCAACTGGAGAGGCTTCTCCTAATAACACATCCCAAAACAAGCTGCTACAAACATTCCCTCAAACATCACATCGGCTGCTTTTAAAATTAAAATGAAACCAAACCACTGAAAGAAAATCGGGTTTATGGTAAAACTCAATTTTATTACTGCACAGGAACATGGGCTTCATTCAATGCAAGAGCACACCCACAGTGCACAGTCGTTGCTCAGTGGAGTTAACTCTGCAGCACTTTGCGAGGTTTAAATTTTCACGTTGAATTGAGTAAATGCTACAGTAGATAATGCCAATCAAAAGTCTGAGAAAGTAAGGGTAGGTTAAGCATTACGCTGGAGATTCAACACAAGCCAGCAGCTCTGTGCAAGCCTGTCTGGCTCGGTGATCAGTGCATGTGAAACATTCAAAATATCACCTTCACACTCAAGAGAGACAGGTAAGAACAGAACAGCTGCATATTAGACAGCACAAAGGTCCAGCCTCCATTCTGCAAGTGCCAGCAGCTCAGCAATAGGCATCTCTCTACTCACCTTGCAGAATCAAGGCCACACTCTGCATTTATTGATTTGTATCAGGGACACAGTCATTTTAAACTACAGATTAAAGCAAACAAAATGGAAACTGATAATTCATTTTCAATTCTGTTTAAGGTTTATTACAACTCAGGTAGCTGAAATTTGTCACGCACGAGGCAGAGGCTTCACCAGTTCTGGGACTATTTGTATAAATCAGCACAGCGAGACAATCTCTTTGGAACAAGTCGTGAAATTTAAGCATCTGCCAAACCAGTTCAGAGTGATTTATGAAAATCTGAAGATCACATTAATGGAATTGCTAACAGCCATAACTACATCCACATAAATGTGCCTCTCATAATAAAAACACTCTACATAGTTCTGAATGTTTTAAGAACTAGTAAAATGACTACAGATTATGAAGTCCATCTCCTTTAAGGCATCAAAGACATTCTCAAGGAGGAGTTAATTAGTCCAGTTTCACAGGATACACCATTACAGAGCCTGAGATTCCGACTGCCTGTGATTAATTTCAACACTGCACCAACATACTTTGCTTACATTAGATCTGTTTTCAATTTCCCCTCCTTTTTTTTTTTTCAGAGGCCCCTCACTGGTGTGTTCACAGCTGGAGACTCAAGTGCAACTCCTCTGTGCTGCCCCATAACCAACTGGAACACTTGTCAGGAAACCTCTAGATGACAAGAAAGCACGTAAGAAGTACTTTCCAACATGCATGTTTCCCCACCCTGTTCCCCAGTTCACAAGGCAGCAAATTCAAATGCAAGCCCCCTCCCCTCCAATGATCTGGGACACACATGCACTTGCTTCAAAGCACCCACGTTCAACACACAGCTCACAGAAATCCTGGGCTTTGGCTGATGCTGCTGATAAGGGGATTGTGATTGAAGGCTCCTCACCATCTCTCACACAGAGCAAGATGGATGCCCACCAAGCAGTAGTAGGTACCAAGCCTTAGGAAACAACTGTCTGTAGTGCAGTGTTGGAGCACATTCCCATGCAATGAAATATATCCACCAACAAGGCAACTTGCACAAAAAAATAAGGGTCTTTTTTGAGGCATTGAGCCTCCCAGGCTGGTAGTCTCACAGGACACCTTTCAAGCTTCCTTACCAAATTGCTCAAATTGTGAAAATAAAAGCAATTTGCTCATGCAGTTCTTTTTGTTCCACTCCCTTTCTGCCAGGAGTCTTGAAAATAAAGCCTCACTTTCATGCACCCAGAGTAGCACCACCTCCACGTCTCTCCCTGGCCACCCAATTCTGTGTATTCCCTCACATCAGGATGCACAATTAGTAGCAGGTTATACTGAGGTAAGAACTGTCCTCTGGGTTAGCTGTGGCCTGGATCAGTTGTCCCACCACATAAGCACTGGAACCGTTCATGTGACAGCAGTGCACAGAGATGAGAATGGCTGCACTGGCTTGTATGTGCTACCCCACAGGAGGAACTACATCCCAAGTTCCAGTTTTCATGGAAGTCACCCTCCACTGCTCACAAGCACTCACCTCAAGAAGGTGTTGCTGTCCTGTCAGTTAGACCTCAGGGAAACACAGATAAACCATGTGCTGTGGGGTGCTCTGCACCATACAGTGGGCAGATGTATCTTGCTGTCTGGGTTTTAGGTTCTTTCTGATTCATTAAGTTCCTCATTTAAATTATCTAACCCAAGTGCTTAAGGCTTTCCTTATCTTGCTAAATTAAGCCAGCCCTTGCCAGCTGCCAACAAGGGGAAGTGGGAACACGCAAGAATACTGCAGGAACTCCTTCTCCAGCACAGCAGTGTGCACGTGCTTCCACTTCCTGGCCTGACTGTGCTTGGCACCCCCTCCCTTCTCCCTCCCGTCATCTAGGAGGGATTTGCACCTGGCTTAGCTCAAGTCTGAATTAATTTGCAAGACAGGGAAGTCAAAGTGGTTTTCCTCCACCAGAAGCCAGGGCTATGGATGGACACAAAGTGAAGCTGTGCAGCAGATGATGCTTAGCAATGAAAATACTTTTCCTCTGGGCTCATTCCTGTATCTGGCAGAAAAACACAGCAAAGACATTTGCCGGTGTAGCAGTGCCAGACAACAATCTCTTCAAGCAGAAGGAGCTCTCTTCAGCAAGGAGCACATTGCAGTTTCCAGCCCAAGGTGAAAGCCCAGCAGACCCACTGCTCTCACCCACCCTCTGCCCAGCACAACAACCCTGCAGAGGTCAGGGCTGGGCTCATGGGCTCCCACCCTCTGGGGCAGGGTGACATCACCTCGCTGTGTTTGCACTGCACCCACAAGTGCTGCAACTCCCAGCCAGACCCATCAGTGCTACTGGACACAGACAAAACCAGGCATGTTCGACACAATCAAACAGCAGATGCAGCAGAAATGAATTCATTTACATTTGAACAAAAGCAAAAGCCAACGGGAGGTTAAAGACAACAAGCTTTGAAGACAGAGCTGAAGGGAGAAATGGTACATTTTCACTGCATATTGTGGATCTGAGAAATGACTCAAAGCCATCTGAGATGTAAACAGTTACTGTCAAGGAGTTTATCTTACTATCTAGGCTGTGACTCCTCAAGGCTAGCTTTATAGCTGTCTTTAATACACACATCATGGAGACTTCTGCAGCATCTTGGAACTTACCACCTATCTGACTGACTGAACACTTCTGTACTTTCTCTTACACAGACAAGTGCTGAAGCTCTATTTGTGCAAAGACTGCTTTTTGTCTATAGGGACAGGCTGATAATGACAGCCAGAGAAATGCTAACAGAACAAACTTTATTAGCAACTTGGACTATTTGAAAAAGGGATCTTCACAAATTAAAGCTGTAGATGAGTTTAGCCACCCTAAAATGTGGTATTCAGTATTACACAGCCACAACAGGGACAATGGAACTATCAAATACATTCTAGCTGTTCTTTTTATGGCATTGATTTTTTTTGATACATTCAAAGCATTATTGCATCAGAAAACATATCATGCATCTTTATTTTTCCAGACAAATTCACCTGTATTTGTCATTTCTAGCTACACCTCAAAGGTGCCCCAAATCTACCGTTTCATGGGTTTAGTTGCATACTTTGCCTATATGCATGCTGAAATAATAAATATTAAATACAGGAAAGAACATAAGAGAACCAAACTGACATTAGGAATAGTCTATGGCAGCTCTGTTATATTCTGCCAGTTAAAGAACTTTTGCAAAAGATTGAGGTAACAACAGTGGCCACACCACTCAGCTGAGAATCGCTGAAAATTCATGGAAATTTTCAGAAATTCAAGTACACAAACACCAGCTGCAACTTGTCAGAAATGCCAGAGAAATTAGGTTGGCTGCATTTTATTAGTCTATTAGCTGGCGTTCACACAGCTCCTTGTAAATCCTTTTTCTCACTCGGGGCATATCTTCCTGGGAGAACTGAAAAGGCTGGTCTAAGGCGAGGCACTTGCAGTACTGGGGAAAAGGAAAAGGCTTGGTTGAAAAAAAGGACATTTACTACATGAACAACATAGGCCACTGATTTTTACATAGGAATACTCTTACCTGGAGCACAAAAACCCCACAGTCACTGTCATTTTTCTGTTGTGGAATGCACTGAAAGGAAAAGAAACAACCAGAGACAGGTCAGATCCTTATCCTTTTACTTAGTTAGATCCTTTCGTTCTCTAACTCCTGCTTAATGTCCAAAAGCAGATTCAGCATAAAGATCAGTTGTCTCATGCTCAGAGACAGCTGTTCTGCAGCACCAGAAACTGGAGTTGCAATTGCTTGTTCTCATCCCAAACTTTGCAAGGTGACACTGAACACCTTGTTAGAATAACATCTAATAGTTAGAAAAATATATAGTATAGGACAGAAAATAAATTACAGTCTTTCTTTCAAGTTTATTTTCTTTTAGTGACCTACACAGAACAGCTTCTCAATTAGTTTAAATAAATGTTTGTACAGCATTATCTACTTTACACAGGACAAAACTATATCAGCAAAGTCACACAGGCCTAGAGGAAGATTACTCTCAGCATCCATGCTACCAGCAGTGGCTTTCCTCCCCCAGCCACACCAAAGGGTTTCAGAGAGCATGACAAATGGTTCATCACTAGGCAACAGGACCGAGCAAGGCAGTCTCAAATGATAACTTTCAACCTTCATTATTTCCTCAAACACGCTCAATTTTGATATGCAGAGCTAAAAAGTCCCAATCACTAGTGCTATTATATCTCTGGCACTTGAAAAGGCAAAGTAATTGTTTTTTCTCAACTCCCAGATCTTCTGCCTCACAGAACGCAGGAGGATGAACTGACTGCACAGGTTGTGCATGAGTGCAGAGAAGAATCATTTTATCATTGTATCAGCATCTAAAAATAAATCTGTGCAAGGAGGGAGCTGCTGGAAGTATGTCTGGTGTGCAATGACCTGTTTTATATCTTTGGAGCCATTATGGGATGGCTACGCAAATTACATATTCCCTCATTTACACTACACACAAGTTATTCCCTTTTATTGTTGCCAGACTTTGTTTACTTGTGATCAAACGCAATGTGCCACAAACAGCCCTGGAGACCAAAGCCCTCTATCCACAGCAAACATAAAATATCAGCAGTAGCAACATCAGCCTGTTCTCTCCCTCACCAAAGCCCATCCATTCAGAACAGCCCTTTCAGGAGAAGGGAGGCAGCTGAGTTTCCAGATCAGTCAGTCCTTGACCTTGTGTCAATATGGACACCAGCAGCAGGTTTTGCTGTGCACACATTTCATTGTTCAGATCACCAAGCCACTTGCAGAAAGTGCTAAAGCCCTGGTGGGAGTTGAATGACCAACAGAGCTGGAATTCCAATGTGTAACTACCTGCATCTCTACCCAGTACCCTCCCTGTGGGTAGCATAAACCCATTTAGTACTTGTACAAATATATGAATTTAGAAGCAGCTCCATGAAATCTCCCACAAAGTCAGACCCCAGGGCTCAAAGTGCTGCCATTTACCTTTGTCACAGCAGTCTGCCAACCCTGAAGGAATTCGGGGCGATTCTTCTCTTTTGCTTCAGTCAGCAAATACTTTCGAATGTTCTTTAAAGAAGGAAAAAAGCAACATTATACACCCACTAAAGAACAGGAGAGAAACACTGACTGCTTGGTTGGAATCCTTTTGACAATGAGGACAATTTTCAGGGGAGCATTGGGAGCGGAGCTAAAATCTAGAGGTAAAGAAATGAACTCTGGTGGGTACTGTGCCTTTTCCCATCAAGGCTCATTTTAGTCTATCAAGGGGAGCTCTAACACCCCTCAGCCATGCTGTACACTGCTCTACTTCATTCCAGACTAGCTGTGGCACCCAGGCACAAGGTCAGAGTGCTCCCAGACATGCACAGAAAAACAGAGCAGCCTGGCATGTGTTCTCTCCTGGCTGACAACAAGGCCCTTACGTTCAATACGGCCGCATTTTCCTGCTGGAATCTCAATACAAAATGCTCCAGTTCTGCAGCTAATCAACAAAGCTCCAGGGAGAGTTTTAGTGACATACAGGGGAAAAAAATAGGCTGACACAAGCGAAGAGAAGGAAGCAAGATAAATGAGACTATGGTCTTGGGTTAAACAAATCCTACTTCTCTGTAAACAGGCTGGGAATTTACAGCACAATTTAAACACTGCAGCACACAAATATTCACCTTAGCGTGTGGATCACAGTGAATTTTGGGGTATTGCTCCCCTCCTACCCCTAGAACAGGCAGAAATAAAATTTCCTCATGTCTGTGAGACATTCAGGTGCAAATGCCTTGCCTGGAATGGGATGGGAGAGATCAGGTTGCAAGGCTGCAGAAGAGACCTTAGGGCTGATGGCTGGTTCATGCTGCACGTTCACAAGCTAGAGAGCATGAGATCTCTTGCTCCCAGGACAAACATTAGCTTCATCCTCAGCAAATGCCAGCAGGCATACTATCTTCATTCAGAAGTCCTGGCTGGGAACTCTCCTGGGTACAATAATTACTACTCTTCTGTAAGCCAACAACTACACACAGTTAAAAGTAGAGGGCTGCTGCATCAAGCAAGCAATTAAGTTGACAAAATTAGCTTTTGTAAGAGGGTCATTACAATTTGCTAAGCCCAGCAAAAATTTCCTGGCTGTTCTTTATCAGGAAGACTGATAATTTAACTCCAGTGTTCAGGTTGCAGCCCTGAAAGGTTGCTGGGTTCTAACCAGAGGCAAACACCCCGTTTCAATGCAGGACAAGGAAAAAGGCAACACACTGTTAATAGCACAGTAACACATAAACCCCACTGGGCAACACTACAGCATCTTCAGTCCTGTGCTCTCACCCAGGCAACCTATCCCCTAAAGGAGCACAATTTATCATTTATCCTAAACACAAGCCCCTTAACAGATGAAAGAAGTGCCCTCACTCTCCTTGGGGTTCTTCTGCTTCCCCATGGCACTGGGCTTTGAGCTCCTGCTTTTTGTGGGAGTGCCAAGTCAGAGTCACCAAAGCTGTGCTGATTACACGGTCAGGCTAATTGGGCAATAGGCAGTCTGACCTCAGCTCCCAGCTCTGGTGTGACCCTCGAGCCCTGTGCTTCAGACTCCTCAGCAGGACAGGATGATTCTCATTTCATACACAGCAAGACAATGACAGACATACCACATTTAAAGTTTATGGCTGAACAGAAACAAAGGGGGAGTGTTTCCTTTAAGAAAACAGTTCAGACTTTGCAGACACAGCTGTCACTCTTACCTCTACACAAAACTTAAAATGAATGCCTTGGGAATCGTAAAATGAAATAATTCGACTGGGGATGTTCACAGTAATGAGGGACCAGTGGACTTCCAGGTGAATAGGAATTAACAAGAGAGTCTTCTTAAACAAGTCCACCTGGCAAAAAGAACAACATATATTACAGAGAGTTCCACAGGCAGAATACAGCACAGCCAGACATTAATTGTATCCAAGTTTCCTTTCTGCCATTCCATAACTGAAATCTTATTTTGCCCCCTCCACTCCATCACCACATTCTTCACATTTACCTAATACACAACTTATTAGCAGGCACAAAAATACAGTTACAGACCAGAAAGTGGCTGAGGAACCTTGTACAGTGTCAGAATTAATCACTTCTGTATTTGTGACAAAATCCTGCTCATGCTGCATTGCAACATCTGTGTTGAAGTGGGATTTCTTAGGTAATGATGGCAATACAACTGAGCCTCAGTTTAGGTTAGCTCTTCATCTCTTCAGTAATGACACTTGTCCAGTGTGAGCACCACTCAATTCTATCAGAGCTGCTGATAGAAATGAGTAAGTGACAGACTTTGGGGCTGTTGATGAGAAGCTCAACACAAGGTAGCAATGTGCATTCACAGCCCATTCACAGCCCAGAAAGCCAACTGCACCCAGGGCTGCATCACAAGCAGTGAGGCCAGCAGGTCAGGGAGGAGACTGTGCCCTTCTACTGCTCTCACAGGAGACCACACCCGAAGTGCTGTGTCCAGCCCTGAGGCCCCATAGGTAAGAAGGAGGTGGACCTGTTGGATCAGGTCCAGATGAAGCCAAAAAGATGTTCAGAGGCCTGGGGTACCTCTGCTATGAAGACAGACTGAGAGAGTTTGGGCTGTCCAGTCTGGAGAAGAGAAGGCTCTGTAGAGACTTTATAGCACCTTCTAGTACCTAAAGGACTACAACAAAGCTGAAGATGGACTTTGGACAAGGGCATGGAGTGACAGGACAAGAGGGAATGGCTTTAAACCGACAGAGGACAGGTTTAGATTAGATGAAAGAAAGAAATTCTTCCCTGAGAGGGCGGTGAGACATAAGCACAGGTTGCCCAGAGAAGCTGTGGCTGCCCCACCCCTGGAAGCGGGGCAGGGGCTGAATGGGGACTGGAGCAACCTGGGATAGTGGAAGGTGTCCCTGCCCATGGCAGAGGGGCAGAACTGGATGATCTGCAAGGTCTCTTCCAACCCAAACCATTCCATGATTCTATGAAGAGGCTGTAATTACAAACACCCCACAAAACCAGCAAGTTTGTAGTTTGACCTCTTCTGCACTAACACAGGCTCTGGGACTTGCCAGAGGAAAGCAGAGGAGTGCAGGATGCTTTGGTGAACTGAGGAAAGGAGGGCAAGAAGGTAGAGCAGATTCATCCTTTCTCAAAGCTGGCTTTGTAGCAGATGTACTGTGGTCTCAGGCAAGCAAACAAGGGAAAAGGTCTTGAAGTACAGAACAAACAGATCAGCTGTAACACCCCCCTCCCCGTGTCTGTATGGCAGATGAGCCCTTATGCTTTTGGAAGCCAGCCAAGCCAGGGCCTTTCATGGTCTTCCTTCTCCTAGCTCCTCTTGAAAGAAGTGTCTAATTACTGGGGTTTTGGTGGCACAGTCCAGAAAATAAGCAAAAATAGAATCCTGAACTAAATGAACTCATCCTGTGGGAAGATTTCTAAGCTTTTTTTCCTGTTTTTTTAAGCACTGTGCAATTTGAACTGTACATAATTGCAACACTACTGGCAAGGACAGATCTTTTGTAGGAAAGAAAAGTCTATTTCTTGAGTAACAATGGGAAGTCGAAGAGACAAAAAGGTGTGGGCATTCACAGCAGTTATCAGCTGAGCCTGGCTCACAAGAGTCCTTTGATTGTGACAAGCATCGACCCTGCTCCCACCTGCAGAAACTGCTTCCTGACTGGATTACAGCACATTCACTACACACCAATCCATCACTCCTGGAGAGAAGCACAGGGATGTCAGCCAGCAGCAAGCTGAGACCACAAAGGAAAACTGGAGTAAGAGAAATGAACTCCATCTTCTGTGATGTCCAGCAACAGCAGAGTCACACAAAACTCAAGGGACCTCATGTGGCCCTAGTTGGGGGATTACTGCAGGTGTGCAATCCTGCAGCAGAAGAGCAGAAACAGGCAGCCAAAAGTTTGTCTTTAGTTACAAACTAATGTACAGCAAGAGTGGTGGCAACCCAGATTCACTCACCACGAGAGCAGAGTCAGCTCTGAGTCACGACAGTGAATCAGGAGTGCCAGTGTGATGGGTGATCAGAAGGGACAGACACTAACAGGGGCTCTGAAATCACTGCAGCCAGAGCCAGCACAGGAGAGAACATTCACAAAACATGGTGCTATACTCTGGTGTGTTTCAAGAGCAGAAACAAATTCCCCTAAATTGCACATTGCAGGACGAAGGAGTCTACAAAATTCTTCCCATAGAAACTGCTTAGTTCTCATTCTTGCTTGAGAGATTCTTTAGGAATTTATGTGTAAATATCTAAAAATTATCCTGTCTCATCAGGTACCTCTCAGCAGCAACAACAATACAGATCCTGCTTCCAGACTCTACCTTAATTTCAGGAGTTTTAACAAAACTTGGGTTGCTGGAGAAAAGGAACGTTTAAAAAATAATATGTGGGAATATTAAGCACCGATATTCCATCTCTCTTTAAAGAGATTTTTAATAAATTATATGAATAGATTTTATATTTGGATAATGAGTTCATCTCTAGCATTTCACAGATGTGTGCTATTTAAGTACTTCTGCAGAAAGATCATACATTCAAACATGGCCTTTGATTAGTCTTGCCTCATCTCCCATATTAGAAAGGACAAATGTTCCTAGAAAAAAAGAGAGTACTTCTTTTTGCATTAGCTATCCCTGAAAATATCACACCCATGATCTGGTGTGGGCTCTGGAAAGCAAGGTGAATTCTGTTCTTGTCAAGAGAACAACAGTCTGGCTTATTAACCATGGGTCTCTTTTTTGCTTTCTAGTACCCGGTATGCGTTACTTGGAGTAACAATTTGATTTTGTCAAAGAATACCAGGCTGAGATAAAAGGAGGAAGCAGAATTAAGTCTGCTCTCCTGTAGATTAGTGTACCTGGCACTGTCAGGAGCAGTAAGAGACATTTCTTGCAGTTAAATTAACAACTTGCATGAACATACACAAAGAGATAACCTCCCACTGAAGATTTAGCCATTCCAAGTACAACATACCCACACTAACTTGAATAGTGCCACACTACTATCTTCATCAAGCCCTTCCCACTTTGTACAGCTCCTCTGCTAACCCATCCCTTACAAATAACACACTTAACTCAGTGACTGAGCCCAGCCCAGCAGAAGCCCAGCACTGATGACAGCATGTTAAAGGTACCTTTTTAGTCCATCGTTTTACCCCATTATATCCTTTGGTTACGAGCTGTCTATGAAAAAAGCTGTTAAAGAAATGAACCTAAAAAGACAGAGAGAGGAGAAATGAGCACAGAAATTTTCATGCACAGTCATTCCCCTTCCCCCAGGATAATTTATACAAAACAACTTGTAATGAGGCAATATTTAATGTAGGTTTAGAAACAGAACCCCAGTAGGGACAAACAGAGGCGTTGCCAAGCCTCAACTCTTACTGTTCTTCAGCAAGCTAATAAAATAAGCCTCATTCCCCTATAATATATCATGTGAGCCACTGCAGCATTTATATTTACATTTTTGTATCTCCAGGCATATCATGTTTAATTTTTTTGTTGGGGACAGACTTGGGTGAAAAACACCAGGACAAGGAGTTAGTTTTTGTTGTTCTTTACAGGGATCAAGGAAGAGAACACTAGGCTGGAAAAGCAGGGGTGGTGGAGAAGGGAGCAACTTCTGGCTTTAGTTGCTGGAAGCTGAGACTCAGAAAAAGAAAACTGATCAAAACAGTTATGAGATTTAGTCCAACAACATTGTCTTTGGCATTCAACTCTTATGACATGAACAATATTCTGCTATTGAGAAGTAGTTTTAAGGTATGACTGATTCATTTGGAAAGTGAAAAATCAACATTTATGACAAAAAAAAATGTAGGCTTATGCAAAAAAAAAATTAGCTCCAAGTTCACACTATTATTCCCTGTGCTTCACTTCTTGCAATTATACTAACAGATTAATACAAATAGAAATCTGCAACATCTGTTTTTAATAATTCTGCTAGTATAGAGGTGGTAGGAGGCTTGAGCTGTTACTTGAAAAAAAAGTTAGAAAATTCAGCATCTGAGAACACAGTCTAATAGCCATTAGCTATGCCAACAGACTTCAAAACCACATTCTGAGGTACCAGCACAAAATCTCCCATGAGCATTTCAATTATGCACTAGGAAGAAAAAGCAGACACAAGCAAACAGATACAATCTCCAATACCCCTAGCCTAGCACACTCAGAAAATATGGAGAATACTAATGAAGAATCACCATCACCTCCAATCAAAGCAACAACGCTCTTCCTTCAGAGCTTGAAGATTTTAAGAGTTACATTGTGCAGAGCTCATCTAAAAATGGCTTTGTTTGGTTCTTCCTTTGTGGTCTCACCTGAAAACTGTTCTGTCCCTAAACAGATGGGTTTTTATAATTGTCACTGCTGCAAATTTAGTCACAAAATGGGGGGGGGATTGTTATCTTGATTACTTTTTTTCGCTTTCTTTCTCTCAATTGCCACCAACAGCCAGGCACTGCAGTTGCAAAGCTGTAAGCATTCTGAGGAGGATGCACAAAACAGAGTCCTGCAGAGTCAATACTGCCAAGGAACCAAGCAGCTCCACAGAAATTCACATTCACCAGGCAGGCAGCTGACACAGCTTGAGCTGTTACAGCCCCCACAGCTACGAGGTGGGCGGGAGGGTGAGTGCAAGCAGCACACGTGCATGGTTCAGATGCTAGCACTCATGGTTTGTCATCTCAGCAGAAATCCATCTTCATCAGAAATTTCAGCTGAAACACTAGGCTGCTGAGCAAAGGCACGAATACAGCACTTTAGAAGCTGATAAGCTGGAAACAGAAACCTCCAGGGAAGTAAGGAGAGTGGGATGGGCCAAAAGGGGGAACGTGTCTTCCACAGGTACATCACTGACATCAGGCTACCACAGAGAGCACCTGCAGGGCTAATGCAGTCAGTTCCTGAAACAGGAGCAACAGCACTGAAAAGGGAAAAGGAAAGGCCGAAAATCTGAGCAGCACATAGCAAAAAATTATAATGGAACCACTCGTTCCACTATAATTTGTTGGCCATGGTTGAGTTGAATCCTGATTCTATACCTGAAGTGTGCAAAGTTTCGCCCTCCCCTCTCCATCTCTCATTAGGTACATTTGTGAAATAATAAAACCCCCTCACCTTTTCAGGGACCGCATCCATTACCAGTTCACCATACATGTTAATTATCTGGAAGAGTTAGTAAATAGTTAAATACATACATCGCAATTTTTTAAGACCCAAATTCACAAGTGCCCATAAAACACAGACCCCTACCCACTTAAATCAGCAATATGAAGAGAAGACCTAAGAGCCACACTGTCTGAAGGACAAGCACTCTGCAACTAATAGTGGTCATCGTGGAGAGGGACTGTAACTTGCTGCTTGAAGTCTGCCTCAATCTTAAATGCAGTTTAATTCAATTTAAATCTACTGGTGCATGCCCTGGGCTCTGCAGCCTTCCTGCTTTTTTGGCTATGGGCCACAGTTTGCTGTTTCACTCTGTCATTCTTGCAATCTGCCCAAGCTTGGGATGGAGAAAGTTACTAAAACCTCTATGAGTAGCCACTATTTTATCAAAATAGTCCAACATCATTTGTTCAAAAGGAAACAGTGTAATTGTGACATCTCCCAGCTTCCAGACTTACTGCACCTGTCACTGTAAAAGCTGCCCACCACTCCTCTTACTTGTGAAGTGTAAAGTAAAGGTAGCCCACCTGTTATGTCAGGAGGTGTACAACTGGTATTCTAACATAAATGGGCTAAAAAGGGTTAGGGAAACACATGAACACCAAGCATCTCTGACCTGGTCATTCAGCCAGTTCTGGCCTTCCAGTGTAGCCAAATCATCCATATCTAGCATGTGCTTATTATAGAAGACCCGGAAATTGCAAGTGGAGGTTTTTGGATGTTTTTCTCGATATTTCATTATTTCCCTGGTGATAAAAGGTTTTCTAAAAGAGGATTGAAAAGGTAGAGAAAAATCAAGTCAAGATCATGTAAAATGGATTCTGTTCTCCTAGTTGTTAGATGAAGATCATGCAGTAGCAATGCAAGTGATTTTTGTTCTTTACCAGGTGAACAATGTGATACTGCTACACACCTATGGGAGAAATCTTCATTAAAGACTTCTTTTAATCTTCCCATGACATCTTTTTCACAGAGTGGTACTAAACTGCCATATTTCTTCATAACTTCATCTAGGAATCCTTTAAATATACCAGAAAAATTAAAGTGCAAACATATAAAAAGCTTCTGAGTTCACCAATCCAATAAAGCTCTCAGTTCTTACAGGTACAACCAGCAATCATTCGGCACCCAACCAACATGCAGCACCACACATGGCAAGTACCTATTGAGGAAAACTAAGCTCAAATTGGCAACATAAAATAAAAGCGGGGGTAGGGGAAGGAGGACAAAATAAAAATGCATGAATCTGATCACTCAGCTTCACAGGAAAAGATCACCCCCTCTTCTTGCCATACACATACATATCTACAGCAAACTAATTATACCAGTGCTAGAGAAGAATCCATCCTCCTCCGTGCTTCAATTAGCATTTTAAACCATTTTACTGCAACGTGAAAAGCCATCAGTTCCTGCAACAGGTTTCATTGAAAAGCCAGTATCCTGTCCTTATGGCAGGCAGAATGACTCTCCTCAAATGCAGGCAGCTGGAGCTGGCAGTGTTTGCAGCCTGCTCAGTTCCGCTGCCGCACCACCGTGAACAGAACAGACACCAGACAGACTCCCAGCAGTTTAACTCCTCTACCCTTGCATCCCAGCGATGGCATTTAAGGTGACACAGGCAGCCATGGCAGCCTGTCAGTGCCCAGGAAAGCACTGAGCAACCACACCAGAAAAATATATTAACTTGGAAATAATGAAGAGATGAATGCTGGAAGAATTGAAAAACCTAGGAAATAGATGTTTTTCTTTCTCAGACACAAGACTGGAACACTGAAGATAAAAATTCCATACCGGCATCCAAAAGCACTCTGAGAATGAAAGAGAATGGAGAACAGGATTTCAACACTTGCTAGTAAACAAGAGAAAAAAGACCAAGTTGTCCAGCTCTCTGAAAATGAATTTTCAGATGCAGCAGAAAACATTTGTTCTGTGTACAGAAAGCTGGTGTGTACAGAAAGCTGGATCTGAGATCAGAGTCTGGTAAAATTGCATTAATCCAAAGTCCAGGACTCTTCTGAGGCTGGGGTGTGATGGCAGAGCATCACTGGGTAGGGCATTGTGTGCTTACTAAGGCTTTAAGAACATTTCCTGGAAACTTTCAAGATCAGGATAGGAAAAAGCAAGATGAGAGAAACATTGGACAGAAAAAGTGCCAGAAAAACAGCAGTAAAAATAAAAACTAAAGGAGAGAGACCAAGAAAAAACCCAAAACAAAATGAGCTGAGAATAGCAGTGAAGATATAATAAGAAGTGTGAGAGAAGGAAGGGAGGAAGGATTGAAGAACAAGATCAAATCACAATGAAGCATTCTTCACGAGAAAAGAACCTTCTTGCAACTCTGCCACACTTCTGCCTATCAACTTTTATCCCTTACATCTCAGTACACTGCGACAGGGAAGATGTTCCTCACTCTGGCTAGAAGTCTAGCTAGACAATGCATGGGGCTTATGAGTGTACCTTATTCTGTTTTAATACGTAAAAATTTTAAAGGCTTTTTATTCATGCACAGAGGAAGGACTGTTCTTGTCATTACAACTACGAGCAGCAGAGCTGCAGACCTCCAGTGCTACTGACCTCACTTGGGCTGGTGTAACTCAAGGAAAAGAATACAAAGTTCAGCCCCGGGGCATAATCAGATACCCATCATGAACAGGATTTACCATGGGGCTGTTTGATACCTAATAGCACTTCTGAATGCACCAAGCATGGCAGTCCATTAACGTCTGAGTTCAGCTGCTGCAGAGAAATTCAAAACCCAAGAGCAGCCCTAACACTTGCACCTCCTTCACGTTTCTACCCCAGGAACTCTTGCCAGGTCAGCGCTATCTTTTAGGGTGCAGTTAATTATTAACAACATTCCTAAACACACAAGAACTCCTACAACTACAATTCTTTACAGCTTTTCAGCTGAGAAAACTCAGAAGTACTATGCTATCAGACCACAAAACGTTAACCTTTGCCACCCTGATACAACCTTGGCTCCTTGCCTGTTATAGAAGGACTACATCTCTTTTTCTGATGGACAAACTTGAAAACTCCATTGCAGAAGTGATCTCTTCACTGGGTTACCAGTTTCTCTCCATTTCTCACACAGCATCTGGTCCTTGCTGGATCACATATAGCCAGTCACAGAGGTACACATCCCACACTGACTTACAGATATGGGTGTGGAGAACTAACTCCTTTCTTGAGGTTCACTGTGTCCTTCACATTTTGCTTTAGAAAAATCAATTGAAAAATTGAAGGACAAACAGGTAGGTAGAAAAAGCAGAGCATGTCAAACTTTAAACAATTCCTTTAACGCTCATTGACACCAGCTTACAGTTTATGGGACTCTAAAAAGCCAATTTCTCCAAAGGAAGATATCAGAACATCTCTGAAGTTACATTGATGATACAAGATGGCACAAGGTGTTAGCTTACTGCTCCTTACTCTGTGTGTAAAAAGCTGCTACACATAAATAAGACACCAATTACTATTTTTATCATGCTTCTCTTTAGAGTGACTATCAAATACTGCATGCTCAGCATAGCACAAAAAACCCCCAAAGACTTTTTGCAGAACCTTTGCTAAGACCAGTCTTTTAAAAAAATATTGTCTTACAGGATTCATTAAGCTTACTCTATGAACAATTGGAGAGAAAACTAAGGGACAATGAACAGTATTTGGCTATTAAACCCCAAGTTTAAGTGATTTAGTGAGCAAGAGTAGAGATTATAAGGGCAGAAGGAAGCATTAGAATACCTAGGATTTTCAAAAACCAAATTAAGAATAACAATTGTCAACCAGGTAAAAACCTGAACCTTTTGATTCCACATGATAAGACATTTAAAATTTCTATCAACAATTTCCTGCAGATTCCAATTAAACTACATTGTATTCTCTAAAACAAAATAATCTTAAAATAGCTTGTCAGATAAACATTCATTTGTCCCTCTTTCATGCAGCTCTCCTCTTTGCAGCCTCATTTAATCAAATGTTATGCTAAGTGACCTTTATAATTCAGAGTAAGAAACCATTTTGTAAAGGAATTAACACAATATGTAAACTCCACAATACAAGCAGCAGTTTCCAGGAACTCCTGGACCCCTAAGATATTTAAAGGTATACCACAAAGCCACGTTGCCAGCTGCTCATCAGCCACCCGGGAAGTTTTCTGACTGTTCCTTTTGCCTCCCTTCCGAGTTCCTGATTTCAGTCCTGTGCTTTCTGGTGAAGGCTCCTCCAGAGGACTTTTACTGTAAGGGTGATCTAGTAATTTTGAACTAAAAATGTCCAAGTTTAAGGAGCCTTCTACTTCCATCTGGCTAGAGCTGTCCTCATTCTGTGTCAGCTCCATGGATGAAGGTCCATTTGTGAAATTATCACTGACATCAGAATCCTGCAAGGAGGATTGCAACAGTGTCATTCCATCTACACCCACAACCTCCTTGGATTCTGCACCATCTTGATCTGAAACAGTGAGTTCTTTTCCTGCCACGGAGACGACAATGTCAGAGCAATGCTCCTCTGCAAGAGCCCCGTTGGTCTCCACCTGGTGCAAGGTTTCTGCCTCTGGAGAAGCATGCAGTTCTGGTGGGACAGCATCCACACTGGCACCGTGCCCTCGGGATTCTGGATCCTCAGCACACGGCTCAGCGGACACATCCTGTGTGTGGCAGATCTCGGGTGCACAGACCTCATTCTCCGCTCCGACAGATTTGGGTGTATTATTGTTCATATCGGACAAGCTGTACCGCTTCCAAAGACGCTTACTTCTAGATTTCCAGGAGGAAAACAAATTACAAAATCCACCTTCAAAATCCTGCTGAAGCGTTTCCTGATGGTCCCTTGTAACTTTCTGCACCCACCTTCGCCTGATTTTTCTTAATTTGCAAGTCTTGCCTCTTGCTCGAAGTTTCGGGAATTTTATGATTCTATACCGAAACCTAACCATAGAAAGTTTCTTGTGCATCATAAATAAAAATCTCTTTTTTACAGTATGATGGTTAAATTTGGACCTCTTTAGAGCTGTCAAGGGGCCACAAGTTCCATTCCACTCCCTTTGCAACAGCATTTCCTTTTATAGTTGTTTAAAACTACCAGGACTGTGTTGCCCTCATCATTATTGCTCTCCACACTATATACAAAACCACCTTTCTTTACAGGTAAGGCAGCACTTTCCAGTGAGCCACATGAGACATAATGGATATGGCCAGAGATGCTATTGAGAACAGCAACAGTTTCAAATTCTTCATTCAAGGGATCTTCACTCTGAAAGGATTCATTGTTGAGTTTCCTTACTGCTTCTACAGACGAGCTTTCAGCTTCCTGATAGGGACAGGATCTTTTTGCTCTCAGTAGTTTTGTAAGGAAAGTTGTATAATTCAACAGTAGGTTTTGGACAAGTTTCTGCATTTAGAAGCACATCAGGAGCCCTCCTGCTTTGGAGCTCAAGTGTCTTCCTTCTGCACTGCAGTATTCTGTACAGTTTGTTGTGATTTAAACTCACAAATAGCTGGACACTCTGTCTTTTCTTCTAAGTTAGGAAAACTTGCTTTTTGAAGCAGTATTTCCCAGGCTTTCCAAAAACAGTGGTCCATCTTCCAGACTGGGCCAACAGCTGATTTCTTTGCCAAAGCAAAGGTCTTCTATGGCTTTCCATTTTTCTGCTGCATTATTATCTTCAAAAATAACTGAAAGGACAAGGGAAATTAATTCAGAGTTATCTGGACTGTAACATAATAGCAAAACACTAAGGCACATCCCTCAGGCCACATGCCTATCTAAAATTCCACTCCTCCTCTATTCTCAACCCCACATTCCCGAAGACATTTTCACTTCCACGAAAAGGAAAAACAAGTAATAGTTGCAATGGTTCGGTGTGTAAACAGGCTTTATTCATTTACCTTCCCTAGAGGTAGAGCAATAAACAGGTCATTCCCAGCCATCGAATGCTCCCCACATGTAATTCATGACTCTCTAGCCTAAAGTGAAACCTCTCACTGCCTATGCCTAGGGCAAGCACAGTTAGCCAGCTTGCCGCAAAAGCAAGCTGAAAAACAAAACTCTGAAGTCCAAGTTATCAACAAGTGCGTGCAGGTACCCCACACCATCAGCGCTGTACAAAGGAGCCCTTGCTCTTGTGCAATAAACGTGAGCAGACTCTGAAAACACTTCACAAGCTCACACAGTCTTGCTTTAAAGGAACAGCAAAACACAAACACCCACAGAAATTTTGATTCTCTGACTAGATAAAGAATGACACAGTTTACTCCTGAAGTAATTGCTCTGTATTTACAGCTACACCTCACTCCATATGACTCCACCACTATCAGCTTCTATAATCAGTGTTTATCTTTGCATTAACAAAGCAGTACCAATGCAGCACAGCAGCTAATCATCTTAAAAACTCCTTTCCCCACTAAAAAATCTGCATCTAAAGTGTTCAATAAGGATATATCTGAGACTACACAAGCGTGTAACACCTGCATAGTACTGCCTGTTTATCTTCACTACATAGCTAAAAATATTCATTAGAAGAATCCAGAAACACAAGAGGAAGGCAAAAGCAGCATACACAACATGGGATGCTTCATGCAAATTGCTCCAGCCTCACTGTGCACATTTCATCCTGTATTTTACAGGTTTGTATTTTTCTCAAGTTCTGAAAAGGACTTTGTCCAGCCCCTCTATCAGAATTATTCTGACTTACAGACTATTATAGCAAGTTTTGCCTTAGCTATGCCTGCCCTAATCATTACACATAGGCATGTGTAGCTCAAAATAAAGGAGTCTATAAATAAACATAAAACATTAACAACTGGACTTTTAAGGAAAGTATAAATGACACCAGCAAAACCAGGTATTCAAGGTCTGACTTAAGAAGCTCTTCTGCATTTTTCACTCTACTCATTTTAGACACAAACAGCAGTTGGGATTTTTTTGTGGGTTTTTTTCTGTTTTTTGTTTTGTTTTTTGTTTTTGTGGAGGAGTGAGAGGGGTGTGCAAATGCAGAGAGGACAAAGAATAAATTTATCCCTTGGGTTTATTCCCATCACACAGAAAACTGTCCAGAATTCACTGGACCTATAACATAGAAAGAAACCTGGCTACCTCCACTGATAGAGAGCACAGCTTAACAGTAAAAAAGCACTGCAACAGGGCCTAGCTGTTTTGTAACCCTCTATTACTCACCACACAACTCAGTTATCAGAAAAATCAGGACATAACATCTCATCACACCAATTTTCTTGTACTTGCTCGTCTAGCACTTCCATATTTCTCTATCCTAGATGCAATTTACCCGTTTTTTCACTACAAACTCTTATGTCTCTGTCTATTGTGTGCAGCACCTATTAAACATTCCTTGAGTGGCCCCAGTAAACATCAGCCAAACCACAGGCTCACTAGGACAGCTTATTCCAGCCACATTTCATCCAGGTAAAACAAACAAACCCAGGCAAATCTCAACATTCTCAGTAGAGCCCCAAACACAAGGGGCTTCTGCCAACACAGTGAGTGCTGAGCACTCCAAGGAGAGCACAGCAGATGAAGGCAAGGGTTTAATCTTCTCAAGCCCTGCAATAGGTGCCACATACCTGCCAGTTTTTAAGAACACTCCTGAACAACCTGGAGTCATCCATTTTCCCCTTGCTCTCTCACAGCCAAGCCCAACAGCCTTACAGACACTGCCTCAGACACAGGAAAAGGCTCTGAATGGCCATGGATTACACAGGAGCTGGAATTCCTACAGCTGCCACTGCTCTACCCAGAGGAGACTGAACTCATGGGGAAAAACACTGCATCAGATTCTAGCAAAGGTAAGTCCTGGTAACAAAAAGGACCCAAGGCAAACCTGAATGGAGATAAGAATGATGCCACAGTTTCAACATAATAGCAACAGCAGTGGAAATATTTACTCATTGGTGTAATGAAATCCCGCTTCTTAAAACTGCAGCAAAGGAAGATGTTAAGAAAGCTTCTCTACCTACCTGTTCTTCTGTTTAACTTCTAACTTAGACCATTAAAAAATGCTTTAATTATAACTTAACAGGATTTAAAAATATTTAATGTTTGTCTATGATGTCCACACCAATTTTTCCACATTATACAATTTTTCTGTACAAAAAAGTTTCACCCCAAAGTGTAAATAAGGTTTGAGTAAGCCATTTAATCCAAGCAAAGTTTTCTTGCCCTCCCCTCTCCCTTTTCAAACATGATCTGTTTTGAGTCTGGATCCCCTTCAAGTAAAGGCCTCCAAAGAGCAGTTAATCCCAGACCTAGGAGCTCAAACAGTGCACTTTTCTAACAGCAGTGTTACTCAGAGTGACAAAAGATAATCCATATGCAAATACTTAATTCAAGGTGCTGCTTGAAGAACTTTCCACCAATGCTACAGGAGTATCAGTGGGTTTACTCAGCACCACAAACCAGCAAGACAAAAAGGCAGTTTAGAAGTGTGCTGCTAGAAAAGGAACTGAATGTACTGAGCAATGTAAAACCAAAAATAAAGCAAGCACTGCCCAAAGTTTAAGAACCTGAAGTGAAATATGTGCCCCATTCATGAACAGAGATGAAAAACCTCTGAACTGAGGAACTTGCACCACTAACAGTTGTTTGGCTTGTCAGTGGAGGCAGCCAGGTTTCTGTGCTGTGCGACTGCACAGGGATGCTGCCACTACTACACCAGCAAACCTCAAAACGCCCAAGATGTTCACATCCCAAAGACCAAAAGTGTAGCAGTGTTTGACATACCATCTGCAAGTGGTTAAATATTAAAAGGCACAATCTCTTTTGCACTGGATGAAGAAAACCCCAGACTGTTACATCTCTATATTAATGGCAGATTCTGATTACTGATTTGCTTTATACTCAAATTTTTAAAAAACATGTTTGGGAACCACTCAGTTTTCAGAATGCTTATCCCAAGAGCTCTGGTAAGATACAAGCAAACACAATTGTAGCAACTTGACATCAAGCACTGCACACTTGCATGGGAATGGAAGAACATGATGCCCTCCATCCTTTATGAGTAACAAATTCAGTGCACATACACACTCCGTATTTTCCTTAGATCAATCAGCAGATCACTCCATTTGCAACTCATGTGGCTGAAACTAGCAACACCTTCAGTGAAGCTGAACAGTAAAAGATACTTTACATTCACCTTTCACCCATTATAAGCCTCTTAGTTTACCCACTCATTAGTCCTTGGCAGTCCTATTTATTTTTGACAGTTTTACAGACCCCGGGTTCTAACTGAAAAGCACATAAATGGGGAAAGCAATCCCAGCAAATGCTGCTGACAGAATGCTACCGAAGGTTTCTAGCTGACACCTGAACTGCCAGACCACAGAAACCTTTTGTCCACACAAGTGCAGAACAAACCCACAATGCTGCAGAAGAGCTCTCCTTCCTGCTGAGATCAGCACAAGCCATCTAGGGCTGTGTCAGGGAGCCCAGTGGGTCAAGAGGCACATGGAAATTCTTCTGCTAAAGAAGCTTGTTTCTAAGAGTATCAGTAATGTAAATAAAGTGAACAGCTGCTGTGAGAGCATGGCCTTGTGCAGGCAGGAGTGACTCGGGCACCACCTGCTCCCGTGGGAGGCAGTTCTTTCAACATCCAGAGCTCAGCCTTTCCCAGTGAAGGTCTGGGCAGCTCCCAAGGAGGAAAGAGAAAGCCAGCCTGAGACTGTGGTGTGCAGCTGAGATATGCTGGGCAAGAAGATGCCCTCCCTCCAAGCAGGATCCAAAATGGGAAAGAAAGAGAGGAAGCTGGAGAAGGCTGTCTCTCTTCAAACCACCACGTGGCCAGAGCTAAGCTGAGAAGGTCAGGAAGTCTGAAATGATTCCATTAGCACGTGCAAAAGCAGACTCACAGCACTGGCAACCACCCCCTCTTCTCTTTCTTTTCTGACCAGCACAGTTCTGTGAACTGTTAAGCAAACATTTTGTCCCAGAGGTGAAGCAAGCCCTAGGGAAAGGCACTTTGACACAACATAACTCATTAGCACAAGACCATACAGAAATAGCCAAAGTCCGGAGTTACTGACTCAGAGGAACACAGCAGGACATGCAGCTGGTGACCTCATGGTCACACTGCAAAGTTTCAACTCCTACAGTTACCAGGGTCTCTTCTCTCAACCAGCATTTCTGGGAACTCACAGTCTCACCTAGCTGGCTACATAACTACTGGATCTATTTCTGGCAAGATGACAAAATTTCCTTACAGAAACATCATCCTTTAGGCTAAACCAGATTAATGGAGATAAATATTAGATAACAGAACTTTTAAGAGACATAGTATCACAAATTAGAGATGGAAATTTTCTAGATTAAAGAACCCAAAGATTCTTTTCTATAAGCAAAACATAAGGATATAAGTATCTTTTAATCTTTGGGCTTTAGACTGTAATGAAATGTTACTCAAGCTTTGTCCCTTCCTTCCTGATTACCTCTGCAAGGGAGAATTACAGAATCAGCTGAAACAAAGTCCATCAAACTTTGCTGTCCAGCTCTGTGAAGGGAACAGAAAGTGGTATTTCATGTGGGGTCCTTGAATGTGTCTGAGGTCAAGGGTCTTCCTGATGCTTTCTGAGGGCCTTCCTTAAGAGAAAGTGTATTTCTACAAGTATTAAACATATTTTCCTGCAGCTTTTAAAAATTACTTCTCTTCTTGTGTTAGCGACGTGAA